CCGTTGTTTGGCAGCTCATTTGCTAGTGCTGCCTCGCTAGTTTTCCACTGTGACCTAGCTATTTGCTGTGGATAGCGCCCATAAAGAATTGGTCCTAGCAGACGACAGAGGGCATATCTCATATGAAGCTGTATGTTTTTTGTTATTATAACCATTTTACCAAAAAGAGCTCTTTCCGCTTTTAGAATAATCCCTATTGCTCTTTTCCTCTTGATTTTCCCTTCAACTCCAGAGAATGTCTTCAACTTGCGTAAATCCGACATTAGGCGGATTTGACTCCCAGTGCTGTGCACGAAATTCTCCAAATGCCTTTTCCCCGACAACGTTTGCGTTCAACAGATATCCCTGTGCCCTTCGACTGGCTGTCAAACATACCAGAGGCTACTGCTCAGTACTAAATGGTTTTATCCAGTTGCTTTCTAGCAAAGCAAGCAGTGACTTCACGTCAGCCGCGTCCCTTTTTGCAATTTTGAAGATCAGTATGTTAAGAATTGGATTTGTTTAGATCTACCAGGTCCCTCGGCTGCTTTAAAAAATACTTCGATATTGGATAAGCAACTATTAAAATAATACTTGCTAATTGCTCTTATTTTAAAGCTAAAGACTTCGGTACCCCTGCTGTCCATTGTCCCTCCGTCTCCTTACATGGCTGATCAACTGGAACCCTACCAAAAAGGGTTTGGGTCACCGATCTTGACCTAAAATCCACCAAACTTCAGATAATCATAAGCCTCCGGATATGGATCTCCTCGATGTGGGACATCTCAGAGAAGAATGCTGGTAAATAGTAGGCATAGCACCAAGGCTGTCACAATTCAATTGCAGATCAACGTAGTTCCCAATTAATGCCCATCTAATTGATTCTCTTACACGTACGATATCAAGCTGGGAAAAAAAAAGCCATGACCATAACGATTTTGTATAGACACTAACTCCACGTTATTTGTGAGAGTTTTAACAGCGCACTAGGGAAAAATTGCTTACTAGGTGGATTTTTGTTAAATCCTTCCTCTGGTTACTCTAAATACTCTAGAAGTCTTGCGAAGACGACTTTATCAACTGTTCGACTGTCTGACGACATTCTCTCTCTGACGAATCTTTACTGCCAGTCAGCAATGAATACACAAACCCACTCAGCTCTTTAGAGACATGCAAGCTGCACTGTCATTCAGCTCTGAAGGGCGCGGTGTGCATGGCGAAGACATTTTCCTTTCTTTGTTTCGAACGGGAACGCGGATGTCACCCGCAGCTTCCTGAAAATTCGAGACTTTTTTCCCTGCCGTACGGATAGAATTTATCCCATAATGCGATTCGAACGACACTTTTGAATTTTTCCTCTCTCGTCACAAAATTTGTATTTTGGCATAAAAATTTTCTCATTTCTCCCATCATGAATTAAACTACAAAAGCTATATTTAGTGCATACGGCTAAGTTGGCCTTGTTGATATTCTGAATGGTCATTTCTTGCTCTTTTACATTAAAAAATTCTTTTAAAGCTACTCCCACAAAAGGTTATGTGTCCGCGGCCGCCATTTCCCGCTTACGGAAATGTGAAAATACAGGGTTTGTCTGGGAGTTGAAACGGGAGTTTGTGAAGGCGTGGTAAGTATAGTTGTCCGAGAGTGAATATATTTTTACCAAAAAAAAGCGGGTACGTGTGTTTGGAGACTTAACAGCCAGCTTGTTTTAGTGCTGATTTGCATGGTTATTGTTTGTTGAAACAAAAGAAAGGCGCTATAACTTATGGGAATTGTAGTTGTTTTTAAGAATTTTTGAAACAATGGCCGTATCCATTAGGTGAACCGGTAGGATTTAAAACTTTAAAAATCTTTCTCTCACCGATTTGTTGTGCAGTTATAGTTTTCGATCATAGGAACTAAAGTCTATTTGGGTTTGTGTTTGCCTCGAAAACAAAAATAGTCAAACACAGTACATGTACAGTTTTTGTCATTTCCAGCCTGCATAAGATGGTAACTTGGTTGTTGTTGTTGTCCGGACTGTTTACACATGCGTTAATGTAAGATATGAACTTGGATACGGGCAATGGTTTCATTCTGATGGCGCTGAGCATGATCGCTGAACAAAGTAGCAATCCGAACTATAGTCGCCGACCGCAGCAACAGTGATAATGGAAAGCTGCTTTTTAGACTTTGGTTAAAACTTAAGTCTGACCGCTACGATTCGTTGAAAAGTTTTATTACCGACCGTAGCGATCCTATTTGACCTATATCAGGAAAGAGGCTTTCATCAGAATCAAGCTTGTATCTTTTCATGTGCGAGAACATCTTAAATTGTTTAAAACGGCCTGCCAGCTAGAAAATCATTCTGTATTCCTAAATTTAGTGAATTATTATTTGTCAGCTACTTTATTTTCCTACTTACGCGCACTTATGTAAATATCTTTTATAGTGTGAAATAAAGAATTGAATTGAATTGAATTGAATTGAATTGTCCCCAGTTCGGCTCATTCAATTGCAAATTACTGAATAAACCAAGTTTTACTGAAACAACAGGCACTATCCAATCAGTTTGATCGGATTTGATGACGTCAATCCTTCCTCATTGGCTGACACGTCCTCTATTGTTCTTTCTCTATATATTTGCGATACCACCCGGATGGTTTGGGCGGATCCGTAAAGCACTGCATAGTAAACTTCTCAATACTTCATCCATATTCAATCAACTCCTCCTTTACAGTACAAATTCCCAACAGTGAACCCTTGAATTCTAATGAGGCCGTCTCCCAGCCTCTCTGTTCCATTGTCACTGACAATGTAAATACCAGTTCTCTCTGAGAAGTTAAGCGACAGCTAAACAAATGAACAAAAAGAAGATAAAACATTTCAAATGCAACCTTACGGCTTGCAACCATACGGCTTGCATCTTACACTCTGCCGATTTTAGGCTGAAAATATTCTTGTAATATTCTTAATGTTCGATCTCTTTTCTTAGTTCATGTCTTTCGCACTGATTGTACATATTTTGTACTACACAAATACCTTACATGTACTGCTCATCATTGAACATTTGGCTATCGCAAGTGAAGAGTGTTTCGTTTGTTGGCTAGTTTCGCCGTTTAGAGAAAGGAATAATTTTATATAAGTAAAAACATATCATTGTATTGTATTTACAGATCTTCAATTCGCGAAAATTCTATTCTTTTCACAATTTCAGCCTCAGGTTTATTCTTAAAATTTCGCAAATTTCAGTCTCGATATTCTTATGAAATATATTCTTATAAAAAAGAAAGAGCCTGTATTACTACTCCAGTCAAAGAGAGAAACTGAAAGTTCAGCCGAAGAAAATAAACATGCAAATCCGCAAACAAATGGGTCCGGAACATACATCAACCATGCCTAAAAAGTAGGCACATAAGTAAGCATTCATTCGTCCAAGAAGAGGTTTCGAATCAGGGGCACCCAACGACTGCTTTCTGTTTCGGAGAAGCAAAACTATTGCCTAGAACTTTTTAATGACTTGAGGACGTCTCAAAATTTCTCATGTACAATTTTTGAGGCTTATCTAATAAATTCCCTACGATTTTCTGAAGTTTAATTTTTCACATTTTACTCCCCTGATTAGGTTATGTCTCGTAGAAAAAGGAAATTTAAAAATATCGGATTCAAAAACGTGATGGAGAGAGGAATTAAAAAATCATCACTTTCGTAATACGTGAAATTTTAGGGAAATTAATACTAAAGCCCTTGTAATTTCGAAAAGACTCAAGTTTCCCCAGGATGACTGAACAGATGCAAATTTTATAGCGCCGCTTAGAAAGCTTTTCTAGACATGAAAGAGTACTCCGGACACTGAGCCTAAAGAGTATTTTCAACGTGCTTAGGAGGAAGCGGCGTCGTTGAATGCCCCCGGAGAAAGGAACGAACAGGACTACTAAATAAGCAGATAGATAGATATAAATAAACAGAACTTCTAGCAATGAATCGTAGCAAAATTTGTTATGAGGTTTTTCTTAGTGCCCAGCTAACGTGACCACATGATGACAATTTTATTATTTTTTTGCCGTAGAAATATCCAACGTCAAAATTGGTTTTCAATCATTATGTAGAGAAAAAAATAACCGATTTTCAAAGTAAAAACTGAAAATTGACAAGACATTCCTAAAAGGCTAGAGGGTAGACTATTTTAAATGGACTTGATACTATCTGGGGAGTGTAGAAACTTTATTCAGGCTTCAGTGCGACTCCTCTAGCCTAAGTGGTTAGCGTAGAAACCTCAGGAAACAATCGGGGTCGATTACAAACTGAAAATACACCCTAATCATTTGAACGTCATGAAATCATTCACAACAAGTTATTTTGTAACTTCAGTGCTCAAGGAGTTAGGAAAATGCTACATGGGAAACGTTTTATGATTGGACAGGGAAGAATCATGTCCCAGTGTTGAATTAAAGGGTGTGACAACAAAATAAACATAAGAAGCACGTTCATATGGCTCATGGCTCAGGATATGACCCTGGCTGTGAATAAAAAGGTTTATGTTTGATTTCGGGGGTCACAGATTTAACGTTTTTAAAAGCCCTGAGCAAGCCCCTCTCATAGCCATCAGTAGCCTGTTTGTGCACGCGATCGTTTAAACCTGGAACGGTCTAAGAAGATTTTTGATCCCGCACCTTCCATCAGACCTAACCTCCCTTACATCTCAGCAACCGAGAAAATTATTCACAGTCTAGGAGGATTGACTGAAATGATAATTGTTTTGGTCTTATCTTTGGAGGACGGTTGTCACGTCGCTTTTGTGAGAAAGTAGAGGAAGTACGCCTTTTTTAAGATGAGGGGGCGGATTAGGCTCGATTACCAGCCGCTGTTCGGGAAAATGAGCCCGCACTCATCCCCCGAAAGAGCTCTCTTCGCGGAGGATCAGAGACCGCACCCTGGAGACGGCGGAAATCGAGCCTAGGGGCGGATATGTCAACAGACTTGTGACGGAGTGTGACATTCATATACGAAGTTGACACTGTCAACTGACCTTGTTGTGGCGCGGGCGCTAAAGTGAGGGGAAACAAGGAAGCTTGAAAATAGATGACATAAATGTCGGCAATACCTTCCATCCGCCGGTCGTTTGGACATATTTTTAAGCGATTACGCATTCGCTGAATTTATCGTCTGCTTGTCTAGGATCTGCTGGATCTACTTTCTTTAAAAAGTCAATGGCGTACAAACTTCGTCTTCTGTCAGACTGGTTGATATGCCTCGTGAACCACACGATGTTCCCGACAACTGCCTAGCACAGCCGAATTGGCTAGAATAAGTCATCGATGTACACACTTTTCTAATCTTTGCAAGGATGGCCAAATCGAAGAGTTCTTCGTCTTTGGTTTCAGTTTTGTATGCCTTCGCGTGCGTACGTGAGGCATGTGTTTTGTTGATGAGCGTGATATTCATTAGATCAGCTGGTGAGTATGAACTTAAGCTATGATGTTGTTAATTTGAATTTTGATTTTTATACATGTCGTCGGCAAATACTAATAATAAAATGAGATTCTTTGCGACATTTTGTTCGTAAGTGCGACACGTCTTTTATTTACGAAAAACTAACCAGAATGAACAGTGTGAGTTAAGATTCAGAAAACCACCAATTTAATTAGACCTATTTTATATTATGTATAGAGTTCACTGTTTGTTTATAACAAGGAACGAGAGGTTTACTTAAGCTTAAATATGGCATGCATACGTTTTGTGTGGTATTGTGTGGGTTTTTGCCCTGGCTTTTGGTTTCTCCGTGTTTTACACTCGGTTAAGTACATTTATTATTCATTCAAAATATTTCCCCGATTCTGATTGGCGAAAAGCACACGTTTAATTCACCATAACCGGTTACTGATGACCAAATTTGGCAGAATTTTGACTTTAACGAGGAAATGACGTCAAAAATGCAGCGTTTTTGCAGGTTAAGGCACCGTTAACCGAGAAGACCTGGGGACGAGGTTGAGTTGTTTTGGTTGTGAACTTGAAAAAATGGCGGACATTTCACTCGTTTCAAGAGTAAGAACTAGGCGAAAAAATCGCTAAAAACACGGCAAGAACAGCAAGAAGACAACTCGAAGGGCGACATCTGCTATTTGGAGAATATTTGCGGAGCTGGACAAACCTAAACGTACACTATCGAAGATGAACTGAACATCGATGGATCGATGGAGGTAAGCATGTTTTAGCTATATTTTTAAACTAGGAATTATTTTGAATAAATAATAAAACAGTTATTGAATTCGGCTTTCGTATCATATGAAGAATTATGGAGATCTCGGAGGGTGTTATCCGCCTCGGCCTACGGCCTCGACGGATAACACCCTCCTCGATCTCCATAATTCTTCATAAGATACTCAGCCTCATTCATTAACTGTTAAATAATTATGCAATAATGCGATTTACAGGCAGTGTCCTAAATTTCTGGATAGATTTTCTCGTCTGAATTTAAAAACAGTCGAGTTGGGTAGTAACTGTTAAATACCCTGCCATGATGACTGTGTGACTGAAGGTTAGTAATTCAGTACTCTCTGGAAATGCCTTAGCCTGAGAAAACAGCCAACATTTGGCGACGCTACTACCTCTGGTTTCCCCGCCGAATGATGTCTGAGAAACAAGTGCAGAAATTCCATACTGATGACGCGTCACTACCCAGATCTGGGTAGTACTTCTGATTGATAGAATCAAATTTCCCAGGTGGCATGACCAATCAGAAGCACTACCCAGATCTTAGTAGTGATGCGTCATCAGTATGGAATTTTTCCTGCTCGTTTCTCAGACGTCATTTGGCGAGGAAACCCAGGGTTGTTGAAATGCGCCCGCGACCGACGCTATCACCAGCTACTTTTTAGTTTTCGCCGGCTGTAGATTGTTCGAGAAAAGTAAAAAATGGACGATTAAAAAAAGTTGTTAAGTAGAAAGTAGAATAGAAAAAGATATTGTTTTCATCATGCCCTGAATGTTCTTTTTCATGATTTTTAAGGTGTTTTCTAATCTGCTCCCACTTAGTTCTTTCCATAGCCGTAATAATTATGATACCGCGAAGCGAATAAAAATAGTGTTGATGCATGCGATGGGTTTTGTTTACATAGTGTTTAAATAATCCTTTGTTTAGAATGAAGAATAAAAGACACACGAAAGCTTTTGAGTGGTTTTTCGCACACTCATCTGGCACAAGTTTGTGTTTGAAATTGAAAGAAGTGTAATGCGATATATTAAAGTACCTATCTTACATGAAATTGGCTGACAAACATGACGCATTCGAAAACATTAGTAATAATAGACGTGTAGAACATCGTGTAGTTTTTTTTATGGATTGATGCTACGTGTGCAGACATAAAATTTGTTATGATATATCTTCCAAGGAAAGTTGTCTGAAACTTCATTCTTACGCAGAAAGTTGCCTGTAAGAAAAGCATTTTTAATTCTGCATCAAAGTTTGACTTTCGTACGTGCCGCTAACGCCCGCGAATGAATATTCCCAACTCTTGGTATCCAGTTACACTTGCTCAACCCACGTGGTCTGAGAAACTTGTATTCAGAGTTTGTGTGAGAAAATGGCTAAACAACAGTCCTCTCTGGTCAACTTTTTTAGCAAAATTAGCACGAAGTGAAGAAGCGGCAGATTTGTTGATATTTTTTATACAAAAGTGTTCTAAAGTAAAATAGTTTTTGTTGACCAGAAGTAAGTTTTTTCTTCGCGGTGATTTTACATCTGTTTTTTCCTTTGTTTGACTGTGAAAGTGATCATGATTTTTTTTAGCGTTCATACAAATGTTTCATAAATCTTATTATAGCATTACTGAATTGGTTTGTATTAATAGCGGGGCTCCCGCGCGCGCGAAGCGCGCGTGGGACAGAGCCCCATACCCATGGAATATGGTCAACCTCTTTTCGTTTGGTTGTCACGTGATTGACCGAGCGTACGTACGTACGTACGTACGCGTCTACAGATTGTATGGGTGGGGTAGGGGAGACTATCAAAAGGAAGGGAGGGGTATCTCAGGCGTGTCTTGGCAAGCCCACATCTTTAATATAGGACATTAATAATATGGTCAATTGACAGCTGTCCAAACAGGATAGCCACTGACCAGTATCCCATGACCATATCGCGGGCTCATGTGTCAACTCATCCAGGTGACGTGATTTATTTGGAAGCTGTCCGCTGACCAGTTAACTGTTTTACTAGATCGCGAACAACGTTCAATCTCATACTTTTACTAGTTTGGGAGCACAGGAAAACTGATAATGCACACATATTGGACATCAATGTTTTGATCAATTGACAGCTGTCAAAACAGAGTACCCGCTGACCAGTATCACTTGACCGTATCGCGGGCTCAGGTGTCGACCCGTCGAGGTCAAGTATTTTTTGAAGTTATCCGCTGACAAGTAAACTAGTTTTCAAGTGATCGCAGGCTCAAGTTCAATTTTTTTTCTTAATTCATATGAAATATGTTGTGTTTATGTGCTGCACAATTAAAATTTTGATTGCAAACTGACCTCGGACGTGAAAATTCAGCCAGCTGTTACAGGCAGGGAAGACAGTTGCTTTTGTTTTTCTCACAATGGTCACGCGTTGGTCACGCTCTACGTCCAATTTTTATGCTCTGATTGGTCAAAATTTGACATGTGAGTTCATGCGCAAAATTTATGCAGCATCTTGAATCTTGTTTACTTTAACAGCTGAAGCTGACAGAGTTTTGTGTCAACTTGTGATGTTTTTAACTGTCTTTTTCCACTGGATGTACAAAATGAAATTCAGCTGCTATCAGGAGTCTTCTGTTACTGATGGCTAGTTTGTTTATTGGGTTTTTGGTTGAGAAAACGTCGCTTGTCAAAGTCGGAAATCCGATTTCGGATGGCATCGTTTTCGTTTTCACCTTGCTTGATGCGTAAGAGGATTGCAAAGTCTGAAGCGATACTGGCTTTACCTGATAACTTTCAGGAGCTGCATCTCGAATGGTAAGCCAGAGAAATTATTGTATTTCATGTTTGTTTTTTGTATCTAATTTAATGAAGTGGAGCGTAGTTTATGCGGGAATTTAGTTTATGCGCGTTTTTGTAAGTTTTGAGACAACGATCTCACCGAGTATCTGGTTTGATATAATCTTACAGAACTTTAAAAAGCCTTTAGACAGTTTCTCACCGCAAATAGAAAGAAAATGTTCCAAAGAATCTTTAGTTATAATTCTAGCCGGAAAAGAAAGCTTTGAGCGATTTTCTTGCCTCGAGTTCGTCTTTGAAAAAACAAACACCGGGAAGCTGGCTTAAAACATAAACTTCAGCAAACTTAAGCTTGAAGCTTGAAGACTCAGGATATTTAGGGACACTTTAATACTTGTCTTCCTGAATGAAAATTGTTGTCTCTGTTTATGTTTCACCGAATTATATTTCTTTTATTGATTGTTGGTAGTCTCTCTTGCAATTTTAATCGCTATGCCGATTGTTTTCAGTCGTTCAGTGAACATCGCTTGCAGGAGTTCTCAAAATGCCGCGCGTTAAACCATCAAATAAAAAATAAACATGATAAATTCTTTATTATCTTGGAGCGTAACTCTGTTAATGTTCATTCAAACACTCGCTACAGCTCGCACTACAAAAGTGAGAACCGGATGGCCGTATAGGTGATTTTGGAAAATTTTTTTAACAGTTTATGAATATTGAATGAGAGCAATTTGTATTGTGAAATACTGCTTTCTGTCCATGGTGTAAAAGGTTGGTTTACACGCACCCAGATTTGTTGGCAAGATTTTGCAAAGTAAACTTGTCGAACATCAAAACGTTGGCCTGATTTTTTTTCTAAGCCTAATTGATCTACGGTGATCAATAGCCATTACGGCTCTTAAATGTGATAAAAGATGATTACCAGTTTTTGAGTGTACATATGAGGCTATCAACTCGATGTAAGATTTGGTTCACTCTTGGGCTGTTTGCAAATTATTTTTCTCTAAAATCAGGTAGCCTTTCCCTCAAAAGTCACATAAATGTGCTCTAAAGTTAACTGAATTGTGGAATTCGAATACAAGTTTATTGTTTAATTTAAATTATAAATTTACTCATGGGAGCCTCGCTTTTAGCCCTGGCTAAATCTATATATTATTGATTGTGAATTTTGTAGTTATTTGAATCCTTCTGCTTCCTTATGAATGTGATAAATTATTTGATTGAAGACAAGTATACCCATACAGAATCTAATTTATAATCGTGAATTAATAATCACACAACTTTGTCACTCTTAATAGACTAAAGAAATGATCTGTTATCAGTAAAAAAATCTTACTGTGAAGTAATAAACATTATTATTGTAAACAAAAAAATATGGACCTATTAAACATTTACTAGGATATGGCATCCATGGAAAATAAAAAAAACTGATTGATGATTTTCATTCGAAAACAGATAGTCAGGGTTGTTAGCTTTGCTCTCAGGAGAGCCAATTTCTGCTAGCGTTAAAACCTCAGATCCGTCTTGCTCCTGGGGCCTTCGCCCCTTGGAACCCCAGCAGGGTGCTGCCCCTGTAGCCCACTGGGGGGCCCGGGACCCAGGACCCCAGACCTACTCACCTCGTGCCTGGGGGGGCTCCGGCTCCCAGTGCCACCTACTTACTTTAATTCTCCTGCCACTTGAAATTGTTTTGACAACCCTGGAAACCAGTGGTAGCGTCGCCAAATGTCGGCTGTTTTCTAAGGCTAGATATACATGTATATTGATCAAGGAGGATGTTATCCACTCAGGCTTAAGGCTGATCAGATCTGCTTAATTTAGTCTTTTTATCAGACAAAAGCTGATTTCAATTATTGTTTTATTGTTGGTTCAAAATATTTCAAAATTTTTCAGCAATGTTAACCTCTCCTTAAAAATTTCTCCAAAGCATTTGCTCTGTTTGTCAACTGCAGGATTTATGGTTTTTGTTTTTTTTTCCTCACACATACTTCTCCAAAAAAAGCTGACGTCCATAGGGCAATGGCATATTGAAATTCTCCTGTTCAGTTTTAGTTGCAAATTCAGCAACTTCGTGTTTGGATAGCCATGAACTCTTTCAACATTAGTTTGAGTTCACTCATGCATAAACAGCTAAGCTTAAGGCCATCTGACACCACACCACTGCCTGGAAGCAAGGTTGCCCTTTCATATTGGGGTAAGAACTCATCAAATCAGTTTGAGGGGATTGGAAACTTTGGCAAAACAGCAAAAGATATTTAGATGAAATCAGTAAAGTAGCTATGTACATGCTCATATGTCAGTTCTCCTGTTTCTCTGGGAGTACATCTCCTGGATATGGCTCCAGTCTCCCTGTCTCCTGTCACCAAATCTTAGAAAAAATTAACTCTTGAAATTGTCTGTGCTTTAGTTTAGAAGGTTATAGCCCATTTTTTCCCAAACTTGGAAACATTTCTTAATTCTAGGGTATTTTTGCACATATTGTGCCACTGAACTTTGATAGTCTGTATTAGGTCCTTGTCTGTTAACTTAATGCAAGACCTCATCAAATGTCCAAAGCCACATCCATGTTATACTTTGGTCTCAGTCAATTTATGTTTATCCAAGGCAAGTTATCACAGAATCTGGACAAGTGATGTGCCATAATTTGCATTTTAAAGCCCTATTTTTTATTTAATTTCTGCTTTTGTTTCAGAAAGCTTTCAATTCATTAACACAACAGCTCTTGTGCGTGTGGTACTAGAATTCAACAAGACTCCAGTTAATCAGTCAATCAGCTGTCGCACAGATGACCCAAATGCTTCTACAACATTGTTTTTCAATTTTCAAGAACAGCCTGTTGGTGGCAGAATTTCTTTGGATAATCAAGTCTATACCATTTATGGTGTTAAGAAGACTGATGCTGGGTATTACCAATGTAAGGCTACAAGCAGTCAGGCGGGTGTTGGGCCAATTGAATCCCAGATTATGATTTTTGTCGTTGATGAAGGTAAATGGCTTTCATGTATACTTGTCCCAATTACTGGTCAGTGTATGTGGAAGAGGGGGAAATCATTGTGTATTTTAAGGGGCTATAGACATGATACCGGAATGACTCATTCTATCTTCATATATTTCTCTGTATTTGTTTACATGATACCAAAACAACATATTGTTCTTGTACAAGTCAATGTGGAATGAGTTCATTCTGGTTTTCTTTCCCAATGAAATTGTCATTCACGTTTGAAATTTCATTCTTGCATCATGTAAACTGAAAACAAACTTCGTTGACTGGATTTAGTATCGCAAATTGTGTAGTCTGTGGCGAGTGGCGCATGCATATCTGAACTAGTGTGAAAACTATGTAAGCAAGAAGTGCTATCCAACTTTAGAACAACTGGGGTCAGGTCCTGAAGGTGTTCATCTTAGAGAGAGTTGACTGTAGAGTGTATAGAGTGTTGTTTTTTTCCCTTTATATTAAATTCTTTTTTGAAACCCATTCCTTGCTTTTTTAGAGATGACACCGTGCTGTCCTGACATCTATCCTTCTTTAGCAACTTTGAAGCCTGGAGAGAATACAAGTTTTGCTTGTCATGTTAAGTTGAAAAGTGGTAACAAAGTTTCCCTAGAAAAATACCTTGATTTTACGTGGTACAGGAAAAATGGATCAAGCTATGTGAAAATCTCTGACAGTGAAACACGCAGATATAATGAAAGTTGCTCACTTTTAATGATTAAAAATGCCAAGGTTACTCCAGTTAACGGAGTGTATTACCACTGCGAGATATTTTATCGGGGAAACAAACTAAAGAATAGCAAGACTTATGATGTTGCTTTGGTGGTTCAAGGTAAGTTGGTATTATTTTATGTTGGTTATCCTGTGGTTTATCCTTGATTTCCTCTGGTTTCTCATGGGAAAACAGTCAAAGTGATAAATTGAGTGCCTAAAGTACGTGCAAGCTTTTAAATTTGATTTTGCTCATAAATGTGCTTCTGGCTATCAATTGCTCTTTCTTTTCCGCTAAGATCTAGGCACATCCTTGTCTCCTGGGGGACAAGAGAAGCATTTCAATGATTAGACAAAGTAAAGACTTACATAGGCTTTAATGACGGGATAAAGGTGACCTAACTTTAAGCAAAGACGTTTATGAGCGATGCAAGTCAACCGGAAGTGGACCTTTTGGATTCTCGGGAAGTGGTTTCGCTTAAATTTACGGCAAAACCGTCTCCATGACTTGAAAGGCACTTGGCAGTTTATTACAAATCAGGGGCACCCAACGTCAATTTTTTGGAAAATATGTCTTCGGAAGACGATTTGAAATCTAGAATTTTCGGAATATTTGTTGTAAAATTTATTGTTTGCCTGTCTCTCCTAGGATTTTGGAACATCCTAGAAATGTTATAATTACCCATTTTTAACGGATTTTTACCCTTTGAAAGGTCACCTAGAATTTTCGGGAGCCTTTTTATGGCTAAAATTTTCGAAAGGGTAAGTTTTGATCTCTATAATTTTCGCATCACAAGACTTTCAGCTAGGAAATCCGAACAGATGAAAAATTTTTAGGGGATAAAAATATGCCTATATCTACCTTTTAAATACTAAAATACGTTTAACAATGCCGTCTTTTAGTGGTTTTGAACTATATTCTCGTTGGGTGCCTCTGACAAATTTGGTAGTGTCAGGACAGATTACAAGGGAAAAAAGCCCCACTCCCGGTTCCGGTTTAGACTATTCCACACTTCTTCACCTCTGAGAAGTATAGAACTAAGTGTAAAAACTCTGAATGTCATGGCCAAGGCTAGACATAGCGCAAAAATCAAGATGGGAAATGGGTACCCTTTTCACCTTGATTTCAATATATGATGTGTACTAATGATCTGGTTTTTACTGCGCTTTTCGAAAACACGCTAACTCTGAAATTCAAAAGCCGCCTTCACGATTACGTATTTCGCTGCCGTCGATCATGATTACGATCACAAGCAACGAACCTTGAAACACAGACTGAAACACACAAAACGAATCGAAATCCACTAATCACAAATCACAAACCATGACCTTTTGAACCCGTTGAAGAAAAGTTCTGATTCCTATTAAGAGGTCCACTGAAATGATTGACAGCAGCGAAAAACGCAAAGGCCGTTGGCTTTTGAACTTCGGTATCCGTGTTTCTTTGAAAAGTGCAGTAACAGATTTCAGTTTTAACGGATCTGTACTTGCTTTTAACAGATTTCAGTACAACAAGGATTGAGTATTGCAAAGTTGACGGCGGATCGTCTGTGGTTCATGAACCAAATGGAGTGAACTTAAGATGTAAAGCAGATGGCTATCCACTTGCAACAATAAGATGGTTTCACAATGGAACCGAGATCCAAGTGTGCAAAAATGAAACTTCCAGTACTGGCTGTGCCGGAGGGCGCTATCAAGTAGCAGAAGATCGCAACAGAAAGTTTGCTTATGTGGAAAGTTCTCTAATGATAAAAAACACAAAGTACCCTAGGGATCATGGGAACTACACTTGTGTGGCAAACAATAGTGAATTGCAAAATACAACAGAAGATGTGGAAATTTCTGTTTACTGTATGTCATGTAGAAATCTAGCTTTAATAGTTACTGTAATATTCAGGGTTTTTGGCCTACTATTCCAACGATTCCTTCAAAAAAAAAACAAAAACAAAAAAAAACAGTAAATTAACTAACAGCTTTTTTTCGGTCTGAGGTCAGAGCCTTCCTGAAAAACGCGGTTTTTATCCATTTTCGAGCAAAAAAAAAAACGTAAAAGGTGGCTACATGCAAACGTACTTTCAGTGCTAACCCGGTAGAGCTCAAAGGCACACTCAGATTTAATGCACATACTAGGTTTAACATAGAACCAACCACCAATAATCTCCTTTTGTTTCACGAGTATAGTAATATTCAAAGCATGGGGAAACGGCTTTTTTTCCTCCAAATTCTTGAAAAATTATAATCTTCTTTCATAAATTTTCACTGCTTATTCGCAAATGTTTTCAAGTCAAAAAGATATGCTATCTCGGGCGATGATAACTTGAGAAAACAGTCGACATTTCGAGACGCCACCGCTGTTTTTCCCGCCAAATGACGTCTGAGAAACGAGCGCAGAATTCCATTCTGACAACATGTCATTACCCAGGTCATGGGTAGTGCTTCTGATTTGTTGAAAATTTGCTTCTACCAATCATGAACACTACCCAGGTGCGGGAAGTCATGTCAAAAATAATTTTGATAGTCAACTTGAGTATGTGGATTTGCGTGATTCGGTCAAACAGGCAAGAGATACTTGGCAAAAAAAGGGAATTTGGAATGAAACAACACCAACTCTATTTCCGTTTCCGCTAGTGAAGTAATTGAATGCCGGCGAACATGTAGTTCAGAAAACAAGGGCTTAAATAGCCGTGTTTCTTTTTAGGTTTATGGTAACTGGTTTGACTTACTGATAATTGCCGTTCTTAGCCAGCTGTAAGAGACAAATGGTTTAATTATTATTTAAGTAACAAATTATTTTGTGCTGATAATTTCTTACCAGCTCCACCGACTTTGGACAAAATCAGAGAAATTTGGTACTCGACTACAGTAATAGATTGCAAGGTTTCCCGGACCAATCCATTGCCTACATTCAGATGGCAATATCAGAGTGGACTCTGTTTAAATGACAACCGCGAGTGTAAGCCGTCAGATTCAAAATGGCAAGACGTCTCAGCTCCCTTTTCTGTGTCACCAGCTGTGGACGTAGCAACTGGTGTAAGCAAGCTTACCTTCCCTCAAACTTTACGATCTGCGTTTTTCCGATGTGTAGCTACCAATGCGATGGGGTCTGATGATTATGTCATGAGGTTCTTAGGTGGTAGGTTGATTTACTTTTTACACCTCAATATACTTGATTGGCTAGCCTGAGAATAGAGCCGCCTATCTTCGCTGCTTGCCCCAAACGTTCCTAGTGGCGATGGGTGAAGCGAGCAGCTGTATTTGCTGGGTGCTGCTCGACGCGTCTTTCAGATATGTTTGTTTGTTTGGTTAATTTTGTCAACTCTTTATCTTTATCTGGTTTGTTGTTATTTTTTGCTTTTTTTGTTGTTGGTATTGTCGATCCTCTCCTGTCTTTGTATTCAATTTATTTTGCAGTGTTCTCTCTTGATTCTTTAAAAATAAGATAAAAACATCGTAGATCGTTTTTTATCGGTTCTTTTTTATTGTCAGTCATTGAACTGCTGTACGTCAATCATCACCTTAATGCCAGTTAATATACTACATACTGTAAGCACAAAGTATTTTCTCTTACTTCACATTACAGGTTCTTACGATAAACCACTAAAGATAATCGCAAGACCTTCAGAGCATGACGAAGGCAACACTATGACGCTTAGATGTGAAATGTTTTGGAAGGGCTCCATGATAACTTGGCGCAAAGATGGCGAACAGCTGTCGCATGCTGCCGATAGGAGAGTGAATATCTCATCAACAGTAAGAGCTCATCTGACACAGACTCACTTAGTGGTGAAGAGAGTTGCGACAAATGATTTTGGAGAATACACTTGTGGAGCAGAAGATGACAGTGGACACCACTTTACTGATTCCATAAACATTACAATCAAAAGTAAGTTATAACTCATGTATGCAGGCGTTAATCAGTAGCTTTTCGCAGTCATGAAAACCACTCAAGCTAATTAGTTGGCTTTAGCGATCGATCATGATAAGCATATACGCTATTGCGAACAGCTGAAATTTGAAAAAAATACATGTTTGTTATTTGCTGAAAGCATTTTTATCGTTAAAACAGGATGATTGATAAATATTTCGCATTATATTGGTGTCTTTGCCCGTCTGAGAGGAGAACGTCTCGACTTTTTCTTCTAACGCCCTTGATGACGTCACTGTTTTACCCATGATTTTTCCCGTAAACACTCTACCTTACTGATAACATTAGATATGTAAACTGTTGCATTTTCCTTCGTTTTTTTTTTACGGAGGAAATTACATTTTTGAGCCCCTAAATTTGAAAACTTTTCTTGGTGAGCAGACCCCCCCACGGAGGTCTCCTTTTTTTCCGAAATCCTTGTTTCGGTCCTCCAACGGGCTCAAAGAATTACCAGAAATGCGTTTTGAAGTTCTATTCAACCTGATTGGCAAATCGACAATGGCTTTTTTAACAGGCCAATCATGGCGTGTACTCAAATCCTGGTACAAAGGTAAGGGGGGGGTTAGGGTTAGGGTTAGGGGGAGGGGCTAGAACAAGGCTTTTGGCGCAGTTTCGCGGAAGGACTTAACCAGAGTTAAATTTCGTCTGTAGCACAGGCTACCCCAAATGGAGAGCTCACTTGCAGGGTAATTATTTTGCTTCTTCCCTCACTATTTCAAATGTTGGCGTACTCTTTTGGAGATGAATTCCAGAGAGTCATCCAAAAGAGGAAGGAAACATTCTTGTAGTTTGATTTCACATAGTAAAACTACTCTTTTGACTCTTTCTTTTATGCTGACATTCTCGTTGCCGTCGCTGTTGGAACTTTTTAAACTCCTTGATATTAAATCTCGGTCACATTGCGTGATTTTCCTTTTTCAGATGTTTTTCCGTCAACGATTCTCAGTTTTTCGAATAAAACAGTGTACAAGAAAACAACCGTGAAATTGAGATGCAGCATTTCTGCTTATCCGGCTCCAACGGTGCTGTGGTTCAAAGACGGGACATCTCTCGAAGTGACACAGGTCACCATCGGAGAGTCGGACTCTTGCGAAAGCAGGAAGCTTCTTCCAGGTTTCTATCAGGTGGATAATTATGTTGACCAGCTGTTGATATGTTCACCTTCACATGCTGATCAAACTGGTTTTTACATGTGTCAAGCTACTAACAGGCAAGGGACAAGTAGTGCCACGGCTTTCTTGGATGTTTTGGGTAAGGACTAATTCGAGGAAGGTTGAATGAATTTTTGCACTTAAAATTATCAAGACTTGTTGTTTATTCCTCGCTTTGTAAATGCTGCAAATTGACCGATTTCGATTTATTAAAATCAACTTGAGGCTCCACGTTAAGGAATACATTCTTCTCTCTTATTTCCCCAAGCCTCGAAGCCAAGTATTAATTTAAATACAGTCGAACCTCCATGTGCGACCACCTCTCGTAAGCGACCAACTCCCATAAGCGACCGCCAATCCAAAACACCAAAATTTTCCTAGTCAAAGCCGTACAGTTGGAACGTGTAGTAAACGGCCACCTCCTGTAAGCGACCGGGACCACGGTTAATGATTTTTCTATTGTTTTTAACCTCTTGTAAGCGACCACTTGGTGTATTCTCTGATCTCCACTGTTACTTAGAATATATGAAGAACTTTAGAGACAACGTGGAACAACATGTACACCTATACTACCTTGAGAGCAGGCTAATTTGATGAGTTCATCTTAACCCGTGAATGTAATGAAGCGATGAAGATGATGTGAACTGCGGAAATACAAATATTTTAAATGAGGATAATTATGATCGTCGCAGTGGTAATTGCAGTTTTAGCAATTGCAAATTAACCCGAGGAAACCCGAGAAGTGCAGATTTTTTTTCAACAAATTGGCCTGCTATCAATGTATGGGTCTTCATAGCTTAATTGGTTAGAGCACTGCAGCGCTAACGCAGAGGTCATGGGTTCGAATCCCGTTGAAGTCCCGGATTTTTTCTCGGATTAATTTGCAATTGGTTGAATTGCAATTACCACTGCGACGATCATAATTATCTTCATGTAAAAAATTTTGTAATGTCGTATGAATTTTATTTGAATCAACCCTGATAAAATTTATACGTCCAGTAATTGTTCTCACTTCGAAAGTTAAGCCCTATTTAGCAGCTGTGCATGATATGAGTTACCCCCGGCGAGATTACTAATTTCGACTTTCAAGCTGCAATGATGTGATTTGAAAGGCGACGATTTTTTACATAATTATTGTGTCCACATCAGGTGCTTGCGTTTCTGGGTCCATGCACTCAAGAATTATTTTAGTCCTGCTTTTGAAAAAGTTCCTCATTGAGTAGTTAAAAATTGGAAAAGCTGTTCTCTTGTGGCGCAGCTCATGTTGAATTTAATAAATGGCTGTTGTGGCTCTTGCTGAACTTAATGCTGCGAGGGTCATTTGTTCATCAATATGTATATTTTTTTTTTTCACAGAGGACCCAAACGTTTTTATAATTCCAAGCAAGGACGTCTTCCAGGTGAAGCTGGGCGCACTGTGGAATGTAACATGCAAAGCCACAGGAAACCCAATGCCATTTGTGCAGTGGAGAAAAGAAAAAACACAAGAGGTTGTCACTCCAAAACGCCGTGCCCCTGAAGTTGTGATGCTGACCATATCACCCGTTACTGAAGCCGACTTGGGAAACTACACTTGTGTGGCAGAAAATTCCCAGGATGTTACGACTGCACATGTCAAGCTAGGTGAGCCAGTTTTTTTAAGACCCCGAGTATTGGCCCGGCTCGGGAATCTAACCCACGAACTCCCGCTCTGCAGTCAAGAGCTTTACCGACTGACCTGACCCTTCCTGTAGTCTCCTTCACAGCCGTTTTTAGTACATTACCTACTTCAGGAGCTTTGCGCAATGGTACTGAAAACGGCTGCAATTGAAGCTATTGAAGCCTGTAGCTGAAATTAAAGATTTGCCGTCTATTTTAATATCAGAAATAACTGCGGGGTTAAAGCTTTTGACTGAAAAGTTTCTCTGTGTCTTTATATTAGAAACAGTACATGAGTGATACCCATTATTGCAGTTAGTTTTATTGTTGTTAGTTTGATGGCCTTTACTTTCACTACTCTTGTAACTCAGAGGTAATTCACCAGGACCATATAACCAGAAGGTAAAAACAAATTCTTCTTCCTGTGGAGTGGCAAGTGAAATTATGTCTTTATTAGTTCTCCACCTGACTATTTAACAAAAGGAAATGTGGCGGAATGATCGAAAAGAGATGGTGAATTATAAGGCTGGTGAATACATGAGAAAGATGTTTTTTAGTCCGCCGTGACATAGGCGGCTCGGAACTGGAAAAGTTCAAGTTCCTCCCTACAGTTCTTAGGTTTTGAATCCTGTTGGGAGACTTGGGAGTATTCGGAATTTTTCCTGCGAGTCGCCTGTGTTATAATTGCGGAACGGAATAGAACATCTTTCTTAAAAGATTGGCCTTTTTACCACTTTTGATTGTGGGCCATCTTAGCAATTCTTGTGCTACGCATTGCTATTACATTTGGGATCATTATACTTTTCTGGGAAACTGCCAACCTACCCCTCCCCTAAGCCAATATTTTGCCCTAAGTGAGAAGCAGGCGGTGTGCGCACTACGATCGCTAAGCATCATGGGCGGTATTCAAAATCTGATCATTTGTGTCAAGATGACGGGGAGTGAACATCTCGACTGCGGTGTGAATATTCGTTAATTACGCTGTAGATATATACGATTTTGCTTTGAATGTCCTCCGGAAGCCCTTGAAAAAGAAAGTTTGTCCAACTCTCAGGGAAAAAACAGTCTCATTCCGTTGATAAGTGTATTCTGATGTATTTTGTTCGTAATCACTTGCATCCTGTTTGCAACTGACCGAGAAAAGTCGGCACAATGCTTCAATCATGAAAAGCACTGGAGGTAAGACCCGCGGTTCGCCGAAAATTTTTGAATTTACCGTGAAATCAGTGCAACTAGTGCTAAGAGGTACTGATGTGCATAGCTGTGATATACTCATAAAATACTAGGAGCTTCTTCAGAATACCCGGCAACGGTATTTAAACACAGTGAGCTTATTTTGTTTTGTCATTCAGCATTGCAAGATGTTCACTTGCTAGCTGTAATAAGAGAATCGAAGTTGAGGGGTCATCGTTTCGAGGACTTGTTTCTCTGTTGGCACCAAGTCTGCATTTCGTTTTGCTTAACATCTGTATTTATCATCACATGAAGACAAGTAAATAAAGTAGAGAGTATTTGTGTACAGTGAACTTGTGTCCTCTTTATAGATAATATAATATTGAGCATCTTTATTTGCCATATTTTTCTATTGGTATGAGTCATAGAATGTCTTATAACTGGATTGAAACTGAAAATGGCATATTTGTGATTACAAAGCCTGATGCAGTCAATAGATTTTAAAAGCTGCAGCCAATATTTGTTTAATGATTGTGTCAGTATGTACAAACACATGTTATCACATATTTTTTTGGATTATAAAAACTCTTCAAAATGTGAAATTCATACATGTTTACAAATCTCCTGTAATCAGGGCTGGGGCAACATAGCTTGAGACCCCTTTCCTTTCTCCTCACCCCAATTTTATAATTTAAATATGGTGTCATAGGTCTCATCATACTCACAGTCAACTCTGTTATACAGACACTGAGGGGACTGTAGAAATTAACCATCTTAATTTAGAGAAAATTTAAGGGCTTTTTTCCAGGGAACAAAGCAAGCTATCTGTAATGATGAGCAAGGCTGTGCTCTAAGGAACATTGACAGGAGCCTAGTTCTCTGAACCTGTAAAATCTAGGCTGCCCAGCATATGATTTGTATGAAAAGTCTGAGATTTTCTAGTCACCCAAAAGCAAAAGTTAGGTACCAGAGGCCACAGGGCTCTGCTAGAGCACAGCCTTGATCAGGTGTCTGTATGAAGCGGTTGTCCGTAAAGAGGGCTTTTTGGTTACCAGTTATTGCAGAGGTGGATCCTAGTGGTACAGTAAAACCCCCTGACTTAGAACCTGAATTTCAAGAACCTGTTCAGCTAAAATAAAATTATGCCAGATGAGCCCCCTTTATATAAAAACCTGTTTAGCCTAAAATTTGAAACAGGTTCTTATTTTTCAAATCTATGAAAAAATTCTGTACACTTGAGCAGAGATAAATCAACATTTAGAATGTTCTTTGGAGACAAAGCTGTTTTATCACTCCAACTGCAATGTAAATGCCAATGTTTAAATTTAAATACATTCCTCTTTTTATGTCCATTCTCACATAACTTCTAATTTGGTATGCAGACTTTATATGAGGAACAAGGTGAAACACAAATACTCTTAGCTACATTTTTACTTCAGAAAATATGAACCCATTTAAAAACCTAAATAGCCTAAACTTGTGCTAACTACTATTTATGTAAGAATCTGTTTAGGCTTACTTAGTTAATTCAGGTTCTTAGTCTCATGATTTTACTGCCCCATTGTTCCACTTTTTCTATTTCCTTTCCCTGCCACCATTTTTTCAGCCTTGGTTTCCAATATCAAAAGCACATTCAATGATCAAGCAATTTATATTTTAACTAAAGCCACCAAAATATGCAAATTGCTTGATATATATTAAACAGTGTAAACGGGTAAACAGATAGAATGACATCACTTTAATAGCCTGTGTGGCAGGCATTTCAAAGAAAAGGGAAAGTGGGTCTTGGTGCAAGAGAAATGTGAGGGAAGGAGGGAGGGAAATGCCTGCCACACAGGAGACTAATTGTTTTTTGCATTATAAACATCAACCAGGTGAATGTTGCAATCACTCCCTCCTTCCTCGTGCACTCTTCGCATTTCTCTTGTGCCCAAAACCCTTCTCCCTTTCCTTTTAAATGCCTGCTGTGGAGGCTAATCACCACTGAATAAAACAGGGACTAGGCAAGAAACTGACCAAGTCATAACATCCACACAACAACACACAACAATCTTGGAAGTAGATTGTTGGTTTCAAAATGCACAGGGCTTAACTGTATAATCAAACTTATCTTTTAATTTAATACCTGTAATTCTAATCCTACTGATTTTATACCTGCATAAAGAGAGTCACATGTATGACTGCAATTTTATTATGCTTTTTTAGTCCTATTACAAAAACAGACATTCCTACATCAGAGTACTCATCAGCCTATTTATATACCAGTTTCGAACATTTTATGCTCACCTAATGCTATTGTTTGGAGGAACCAGTCGCCGCTGCCCCGCTATTTTGTGATCAGCTTGTGATTACAACAGTAACACTTCCAGTAACATGTCACATTGGTCTTCGCGAGGCGACATTTTCCCATGAAAACATGCCGGTTTCAATTCGGAAAAAGTATCACAAAACGTGGGGCGCGTTGGGGAGCGATAAAAAATTAGCGTAGAACAAGGTTTGTAGAAACACTTACAACTATCTTCTACTTTCGACGGGCAATATAATGGAAATTATAGCCTCTTAAAAACCGGGTTCAAATTTCATGCTCTTACAGGAGGAATCTTCGGGCTCCACGTTTTAGATTGAAATGAAGAATATTGATTTGTTTTTCTTCACAGAAAAAATCTAAACAAATATTAGCTTGTGAAATCGAGAAAAACTATCTAAGGAAAGAACTGTATCTATTGAAAAATAAAGCATATAACCTGCGAAATTTCTCGACCTTCGCCGCCATCTTGAAAATTTTGAATCCACAATGCATCGCAGTCGTAGTGCGCACACCGCCTGAGTGAGAAGTAAGTGTTAAGGTTGGCTTAGGGGAGGGGTAGGTGGGCACCCAGAAACGTATAGCTATAATGATCCATATAATGTCACCCGAAATTTTTCCCATGTTTACTGAAGCAATAGGTGATATTATCTTTATAGGTTCAACAGTACTCAGCAACTTTCCAGATGTATCGTGTTGCTCTGTATAGTCCTGGCCCTCACCTTCTGTTGCTTTATTCGTCGTCAGCAAAAGCAGATTGCGGGGTATCGTAGCCAGTTTTTTGTGAAACACTCAGAGGAATACCAGGTAAATATCCGTGCAAAAGTCAACATTCAAACCTGTATTAAGCGGTCACCGCTGGGGAATAGCTTACTGACAGCTTCGACAAACCTAAAAGTTATCCAATGTAGGTGGTGAAAGAGCGAAATATCACCCACGACAAATTGACCTCAAACGGTTCACCATTATCTGTTTACCAGTTTCTACCACTTCTTGTGCCAAAAAAAAAAGAAGTAAAAGGCCACTAAACGCCACACACAGTGTATCTGTTGCATTAGTACGTTACATCTTGTCCAAGTAAATTCCGAAAATAAGCCCCGGGACTTATTTTTTTCAAAGGCCCTTTTTGAGGGGCTTACTTTTGGAGGGGCATATTTTCGGAGGGGCATATGTTCGAAGAGGCTTATCTACGGAGGGAAATGTGCGTTTCAGAGCCTTATAGTTGGAAGGAAATTTACCGTTTTTGGTTTATTTTACTTTGCATTGAAGGGAAATTTCCGAGTACAAGCCCCCGAAATGGGGGCTTATGTTTGGAGGGGCGATTTAAGGAAGGTTTTTTTAGCGTTACCGGTTTGGGGGCTTATATATGGAGGGGCTTATATATGGAGGGGCTTATTTTCGGAATTTTACGGTAACCTGTTGGGACGTCGTAAAATGTAATGAACATAGTGTTAAAACATTCATTGTCTTGTTTTAGATTGACCCTAATCGCACACTGCTTGAACATTGTAATGATCTTCCTTATGACCCTGATTTCGAGTCTGCTGAGGACAAGCTCACTGTTGGGGAGGTGCTAGGATCAGGGGCCTTTGGAAAGGTCATTAAAGCAAAGGCTATAGGAATAGACGACTTTAGTCCCAGAGACAAAAGTCCAGTAAAAGGGGGACCGCGACTCAGTCTGCTCCGGCGATACGTAAACCGCAGTAAAATGTACCACGATTCGAGAGTTAGCGCTTCTAAGAAGACCACTGTTGCTGTAAGGACCCTTAAAGGTAACGTAATAAAGTTTTTTGGCACTTAATGCCGTTAAGCAAGATCGTCTGCAACGTCTTTTAAATTGAATTTCCCGTTGGGGTGGTGGAGGGAGAAATGAACTTGGCTGGTAGTAACCTAAGCATCGACTTGGAGACGAGAATGAGGCGGGGGAGGGGATTCTGAGTACATTACTGAGAGAATTTATGATCAACTAAAGATTAACGAAGCTGCGGGGTTGAAAGTTGCTTTTTTTGGAGGGGGTGGGAGGGGGGGTATCAGACTTCACATCGACAGGTTTACAGGGTCAAAGGTGTCACCCTTTTTCGATTGACAGAGCTTTCACAGGGTCAAATCAGTGCCCCTCTCTCAGTTTACAGACTTTTTACAAGTTTATTTACAGGTTCAAAGAAAGCTCTCTT